CAAACGTCACCTTAATTCAAAAGGGAGAAGACCCACGAAACCTGTCGCTGACTCGTGACATAATAGCCCATTTACATTTCCTATTGTCTTATTTCTTTTCGCTATAACAAAATTATATAAATATACTTACACTCTTATTTTTATTATTCTAATAAAAGTGTGAAAAGCATTTTTATTATATCTTGAAAGTTTAAAAAAACTTTATAAAAGTATTTTATTCACATCATCGAAACCGTACTCTTTTTCTTCTATAAATAAATAAAAACTTTCTTACAAAAAGTATTCAAGCCACCATTGTAGACGAGCAACGGACCTTTTTGCACTCAGAATATGTACAAACGAAGACTTGGGCGGCAGTACACGCCTATTTTTGGCAAGCCGCCAATCGAGACTCCCAAGTACACAGCCAGACACCCCTCAGGAAAACAGAGCAAGCCCTACAAGCAGTACTAATAGGATCTAACACAACCCTGCAAAACAAAACAGAGAAGCAAAGTTGAATATTTGCAACCTTTCGTTGTCATTCTTTGACAAGTGATGAAGCTAATTGAACTTCACTAACATATTAGTGTAATGACTGATTTTTGTATTGCACTAATAAGTGATGAATTTAGAATTTTATATAAAGTGTGGTTAAAAGGTAATCATAATCAAGTCAATAATTTAATTTAAAATAAAAAATTAATTATTTTTAAATAAAATAAAATTATAATATAAATTTTTGTTACTAATTTAACTATAAGTTTTCAAACTTATTAATATAAATAGATATAAAATAATAAAAAAAAAGAAATTTAAGGGACAGAGTCATAGTCAAAAGAAATTTGCAACTTTTTTTTGCACTGATCACAAACACAAATGTCCAAAACAGAATCTTTTCTACAGATCTATACAATTGCTTTTTTGAATTACATGGATCAAACACTATGTAGTTCCATATTACAATAAGCAATATTAAAATCCGAACATCCATCAAAGACCAATCGCAATGAAATCCTTGTCAACCAGAATTCAGTATCCAGACCAAAGCACAAGAAACAAAATGAAAAGAAAAATTAACATTAGATTGTCACTTTTATACTTTCAAATTCATGGACTTCTTTTCAAAGATTTATACTATTGCTTCCCTAGGATCACATGGATCAAACACTATACAGTGCCATCATAGACCAATCACAATGAAATTCACATCAACTAGAATTTAGTGTCCAGACCAGAGCACGAGAAACAAAGCAAAAAGAAAAATTAACTGTAAATTTTCAATTTTATGCTTTCAAATTCATGGATGATTAAAAAAGAATAAAAGGGTTTAGATTAAGAAACTAAAAAGGAAAAAAAAGAGACAAAAAAAAGCCAAATGACTATAAGATTGAAAAAGAATAAAAGGGTTAAAATGAGAAAAAAAGAAAAAAAATAATTCCAAAATTTGAGTTTTGAAGGGATTGAACCCAAGCTTTAAAAAAGTAAGCTAATTTTCTTATCACTAATCCAAACAAATTCATTTGATACATATAAAGGGTAGTAAAGCACATAAAAATATAAAAAATTAAAAACTGCTGCCACCGTTCTTCCTCCGCCCCTAGCACCAATTATGGCACGAGGAAAATTCAGTCAAACATCGATGATGGACAAGTATTGTGGGTCAAGGCAGCGGCGCATAAAATAAAATAAATATTCCTTAATCTTTGTAGGATATGTTAGTCTTGCTAGACCAACTATAAATATGTGAGCAAACGCAAAAGCATTCCCATCCTTAGACAGAAGAAGATCTCTCCCACCAACCAATTTCTGGTTCTGCTATGATGGATCTTCTTCTCCAATATTTTGGTTATGTAGCACTATTAGCCGTCGCAGTGTTGTTTTTATACAATAAACTCAAAGGGTCTAGACAAAGTGGCAGAGCTGCACCCGAAGCTGGGGGTGCATGGCCAATAATTGGTCACCTCCCGCTGTTAGGGGGACCAGAGCAACCTCACGCGACATTGGCAGCCATGGCTGATAAACATGGCCCTGTCTTCATGATCCGGTTAGGTGTCCATCAAGCGGCGGTGGTGAGTTCGAGAGACATAGCCAAGGAAATATTTACCGTCAATGATATGGCTGTGTCCTCTCGTTCCAAAATGGCAGCAGCAGAACACATGGGATACAACTATGCCATGTTTGGGTTTTCTCCTTATGGACAGTTCTGGCGCGAAATGCGCAAAATAACCATGTTGGAGCTGCTATCAAATCACAGGATCGAGAAACTCAGGAATGTTTTCGTCTCGGAAATAGAAGGCTCAATGAAAGATTTATACAAGTTTTGGCTTGAGGAAAAGAATGATTCGGGCCATGTCTTCGTTGAGATGAAGAAACGGTTTGGGGACTTGACTCTGAACGTTATTCTTAGGATGGTTGCTGGGAAGAGGTACACTGGCGGTGCTAAGGAAGATGAGAAAGTGGTGGCACGATACCGCAAGGCCTTAAGGGATTTCTTTCACTTGACAGGTATGTTCGTGATGGGAGATGCAGTTCCTTATCTCCGATGGCTTGATCTAGGCGGCCATGAAAAGCACATGAAGAAGACTGCAAAAGAGTTGGACGAAATCGTTGGGGGATGGTTGGATGACCATAGGAGGAGTGGACGTTGGGATGAAACTAAAACCGACAAGGATTTCATGGATGTGATGCAGTCTGTCCTTAAAGGTTCAGACCTTGCAGGTTATGATGCTGATACCATCAACAAAGCCACTTCCTTGGTATGATCTATTTTCCAATTTTTTTTTTTTCATTTTTAAAAAGCCTTTTATTTCCCCATTCAGTTTTAAAATATACTTAAATCATCAAAACTGGACATTGCAGAACATGATTCTAGCAGGCAGTGACACTACAACAGTTACCTTAATATGGGCCCTCTCGCTGCTGCTAAACAATCCTCACTTGTTAAAAAAGGCTCAAGAAGAACTAGACACCCATGTTGGCAAGGAAAGATTCGTGGATGAATCAGATATCAGCAAATTGGTCTACATCCAAGCCATAATCAAAGAGACATTGAGAATGTATCCTCCCGCACCTCTTTCAGCACCCCGTGAACTCAGTGAATGCTGCCGTGTCGGCGGCTATGATATCCCCGAAGGCACTCGGCTGATCGTGAACCTCCATAAGATCCAAAGAGACCCTAAAATATGGCCAGAGCCATCGGAATTCAGGCCGGAGAGGTTTCTCACCACCCACAAAGACGTGGATGTTAGGGGCCAGCATTTCGAACTGATGCCATTTGGTAGCGGTAGAAGAAGCTGCCCTGGAACATCTTTCGCTCTCCAGATGCTGCACTTGACACTGTCTAACTTCTTACACGCCTTCAATTTCTCCAACCCAGCCAATGGTTTGATTGACTTGAGCGGCACAGCTGGATTGACCAACATGAAATCTACCCCACTCGAAGCACTTGTCTCACCACGCCTTGCCCCTGAGCTTTATACACAATAAATCCTGCGTGAAGATTGCATGAATAAAGGGCGAACAAGGACAAGAGATCGGCATTTTGCTCCGATGTTATAGTAGATAACAGCCATCATTGGTTTTACTCATAAGAATACTTTAGTTGGTTTACTTATATACAGTTGGGTTTTTTTTTTTTTGCTCAGCATACAGTTGGTATTTGCCTCTGTTATAGTAGATACAGCCATCAATAAAGCAAGTGTTTTACTTTCAAGATGGACTAGCATTGTTCAATTTTCCTTTACAAGTATCTGCATGTCATATTTTTTTCATTACAAATATATGAATTAATAAGAGAAAATATATGATAAATAGATTAAAAAGTTTGGGGAAGACGGAGATTTTCAAAAGTCACACTCCATCTAATGGAGATCATATGGTAATTAAGGTTAATTATTATCTCGATTACTATAATCAAATAAAAATCAAATATTATTATTTAATTAATTTAATCTGAATCTTAATTTAAGCATTTATTATGTCACGTTTTTTAGTATCTTAAATTAATTCACTCACATAGAAGAACTAAATAATTTTCTTAATTTCTCTTAACAACATAAATAAATGCACGATACATGAGCATTTTACTCTAAAGAGTAAAATTCGGATTTTTCTTTTTCAAATTAAAAAAATAAATAAAATAAATGCACATTGTTTGGGCTTGGGCTTTGTTTTAGGCTTGGTTTTACTAAGAATGGGCCTGTTGAGCCCAAAGGAAATGGGGCGGATCGTAATCAGCCTCCTGGAAAACGAGTGGGATGAAACCAGTGCATGGGGAAACCTTTTCCATGAGGAAGAGCTAAGCAAAGTAGAGATGGAGTTAAAGATGACGGCGTAATTCCAAAGCCTAGTTTCTCGGGAATTAATTTCTGGCCAACCATGGGTACGTGATCAAAGAAGCCTAAGCACAAGCATCTAGATAAATCATTTAATAATTTTTAATATTTTGAATAATTTAAATCAAGATTGAAAATTTTTTAATAAAAATTTAAAATTAATATAATATTTATGAGATAATATAGAAGTAAGATATCAAACTTTATCCTCAAAGTGACATGTCTATCAAGTCAAGAAAAGGAAGTAGAGAATTTATTATTTTAAGTGATTTTAGACTAAAATATTTTATCTATGATTTTGATGGTAATGATTCACAAAAATCTTTGATTAAAACAATTAGAGATGTGGATAAAAGAGTTTGTCATATTCTCATGATGGATCTAATTATTGTTAAAATATTTTAGAGACAAATTGAGAGTGGATAATATATTATATTTTTAAGTTATTTCAGAATTTTAAATGGTATCAATAGTAAATATAGGGTTCTTTATCTTCAAACCTCAAATCTTGTGTCACTTAGAAATTATTACAGTAGATATGGATTTCTCCCTTCCATTTTCAACTCCTTTTGCAATTGAATTCTTGCCTTTCTTACTGTTTCTTTGTGGGTTTTTATTGATATTGAGAAGAAATTCAATTCAGAAGAGAATGCCACCGCTAGCTGATGGTGCATGCCACCTCCGCCTATTAAAAGTGCAACCACCACCCCGTATTACCTTAGGCTGCTGTTCAAAAGGGCAGGCCACTATGGACCTATGTTCACCATCAAGCTCGGTTTATCTCAAGCTGTAATCGTGAGTAATTGCGAGCTAGCTAAAGAGTGCCTGTCAACAAATGATTAAGTCTTTGCCACACGCCCAAAGTCAACATATGTTAATAATTTAACTTTAATTCAAGTTAAAAATTAAGTTAAGTAAATTTTAAATTTTTATATTATTATAAAAAAAATTAAAGAGGAAAAAAGGAAAGAGACAAGAAAGAAAAAAATAAAGAAGGAAAATCACTCCTGGGCCTAGGGAGCTTGCTCTCTTTGTTGTGTACTGATTTTCTCCGTGTTACTTGTGAAGCAACCATGTTTTTGCTTTTTATTGTGGCTTGATCCTTCATGCTTTTGTGTTAGGTTTTTTTCATTAAGGGGAAAGGGAGGCGGATGCATGGGGCATGGTTGGATGTGATTGCTGCTAGCTTCTTTTGCTTCTTGAGGTTGGTTGAAGTCGGGGAGTGAAGGGTTGTGGGACGGGGGGTTTTTGTTGTCTCGGTGGGGGGTCTTCACAAAGGAATTGCCTCTGCTTGTTGATCTTGGAGGGTGTGGTTAAGGAAGAGGTTTCATAGGTTTGGGACAGGGTTTGGTTGACCAAGCTGCGGCTGCGTTTTTGGAGTTTTGATGGATGATTCTTAAGCATGGCAGTCAAGATGTGCTGATGGAGGACTTTCCTTTTTCTCCTTTCCGTTTCTATGCCAAGGTCAAGGGGGTTTCCGTCCTGTCTACCACAAAGTTTTGCTTTGTGCTTTGCAGTTAAGGTTTGTCTTTGTGGGGTGCAGGACATTCTTTCTTTGCTCTGCGGATATTCTGAAGGCTAGGGAGAGGTTGCAACCCTGTCTACCACTCTTTACTGTTTTTGAGATCTTGTTTCGATGGTGTATGCTTTGATTAGGTGCTGATCTTCTCTTTGACTACTTAAGAGTTCTAGTTTGTCAAACTTTCAGGATGTTTGGTTCCTAGTTAGGATCCTTTGCTGGCCGTTTGTCTCTTTGTGGACAGGGGCCTTTTTGTTTGTCTTTGCCGCAAAATGTTTTTTCCTTGCGCAGCTTCTTTTGTAATTTTACAGGGTTAACTCACCTTAAAGCTAGCTGCTTATGCCAGGAGGAGTCTTCCGCCGGTTTAGGTGCTAGACTTGCCATGACATCTAACTTCTATCAATAAAACTTAATTTTAAAAAAATTATAATAAATAATAATTTTACATAACATATAAATAAAAAAATATAATAAAATATTTATAAAAAAATTATATTTGATAATATTTCTTAAATTCAAATTTATTAATTATTAATTTTGTATTAAAAAAATTAACAATGTCCTTTTTAATATAAATAATTAAATTATCTAAAAAAAAGTTATTATTTATTTAATTTTAAAATTTTATTTTTATAATTTTTATTGTTGAAAAGTTAATTTTGTAATTATTGTAAAAATCGAAAAACTCAAAACATGACGAATTAATCTATCAATTAATAATAATTTTTTGATTTTTTTATTTTTTTTAATCTCTTGCATAATTGAGAAAATGTCTTACTTTTTTTTATTGTATGCTCATAATAAAAGTATGAATTTAATGTTTTAAATATATAATCAATAAAACATTTTAAAAATTTGGGAGCCAAATATTTTCCTTATCTATTCTCATAATAATAATAATATGAATTAATATTACTTTTTTAAAAATAATATAATTAATATTTAAATATATTATATATAAAATATTTTAAAATTTTTGAAAGGTCACAACGCCACCCTTCGCCCTCGTGCCATTGCTATTACCTCATGAATCAATGGAAGATTGCGTCGTGGGTGCTTACCATATCCCGAAGGAGCCCAAAGCTTATCTTTAACGCATTCAAGATTCATAGAGATCCGCCCATTTGACCAGATCCTCACAAGTTGCAACCAGAAAGATTTCTCATGAGACACGAGGATATTGACATGAGGGGTCGGAGCTTCGAATTTTGACCCTTTGGAAGTGGCAGAAGGATGTGCCCTGGAGCCTCTTTCGCCCTTCGAGTAGTGGAACTCACGCTTGCTGCTTTGCTACATGGATTTGAAATAACAGCCCCGTCGGATGAACCCATTGATTGATATGACTCAGAGCTCAGGACTAACCAACCTCAAGGCCACCCCATTCGAGGTCCTCTTGTCTCCACGCCTTCCAGCCTATCTATACGGATAAATCAACCATCAAAACTGTTTAAATACGATCTCGTTCATATAAGAAAGGCAGTAGTTTATACTAATCATTGGGTTAAAAATATTTCTCTTATCTTTAATTACTTCCTTCTTCTAAAATGGATTGTAAGAATCGTTGATATGTAAATGATCTAGCGTGTGCTTCTTATAGTAGGAAAAGTAATGTAAGGTTTTCTCCGCGAGTAATAAGTGGCTACATTTCCTAGCTCGATTGACAAGTCCTAGAGCAACTCCAAGCCTTCCTGACTCTTGTTATGAGTTAGAATGATTTGTAAGGTAATTCTACTTCAACTCTTCCGCTGTTCTACAGGTTCTTTTGGTTGCAATAAACCTCAAGTTGGCCTGTGTGTCAAAGGGGTGCCTTATTTCAGTTTGGGTTTCAAAGCCCAAACCAAGAAGCACGCCAACGTGGAGGTGACTTTGGATTTCTTCTTTCAACTAATTTCCATTTAAGTATTCAAGTAATGAACCATGTGATTTGAACTTTAAAGAAAGAAGATTTGAACTTAAATTTATTTGATTTGAAAGGAATTAGGATAAGTGAAGGCACAATCATCTAGCTAATTGAAATCCTTACGCTACCACAAGAATATATACATCTGCAAGTACGATGACCTCCATTGCTCTTAAGTCTGGCAATGGATACTTCTCATTCATACCCAGCAATTTCAACGATAGCAATAACATTTTCCCTTCCGGTTTTCTTTCTTATCCTTCTATGGATATCAAAAACTTCCTTCAGAAGCACAAACAAAAAGAGAGCAGCACCAGAAGCTGGAAATTCATGGCCTGTACTTGGCCATCTCCACCTCCTAGTAGGACAGAAACCAGCACACCTAACATTGAGCGCCATGGCAGACAAATATGGCCCAATCTTTACCATCAAGTTGGGTGTGCGTAGAGCTTTGGTTGTGAGCAGCTGGGAAACTGCCAAGGAATGCCTAACCACCAACGACAAAGCCTTTGCCACTCGTCCAAAAAATATTTCCATGGAGGTTTTGGGCTACAACCACGCCATGTTTGGCTTCGCACCTTACGGACCATACTGGCGCAACATGCGTAAAATTACCACTCTCGAGCTCCTCGCGAACCACCGACTGGATATGCTCAAACATGTACGAGAATCTGAGATGAAGGTATCCTTACAAGAGTTATATCAACTTTGGAAAGAGAACAAAAATAGCTCTGATAAGGTCTTGGTTGAGATGGATAAATGGTTCCGCGATGCAACCGCCAACGTGATTCTCAAGATGATAGTAGGGAAGCGAATTTCGAGTTTGGGGAATGATGCAGAGAGTAGGAGATGGAAGGAGGCGTTGAAGGAGTTCTTCGAGTTGAGCGGGAAGTTTTTGGTAGCGGATGCATTTCCATTTTTGAGATGGTTGGACATTGGGGGAGACGAGAGGTTGATGA